GCCCCAGTAGATAGTTGTATGTCATAGTTGCACATCCTTCTAGTTGCTGTATGTGGGACGCGGCCTCAGCATGGCTGGAGAAGTGGTGTGTCGGTGCGCGCCCCGGATCCGAACCCGGGCTGCCAGCAGCGGAGTGCGCGCACTTAACCGCTAAGCCACGGGCCGGCCCTCAATATGCTTTTAACGGCAGCATCCGATCCCTGGATTTGGTCTATGCACTTGACCCATCCTCACTGTTGGGTATCTGGCTGGTTTCACTATTATAAATAATGCTGAGTGAACATTCTTGCACACACGCCTTTGTGCACATCTCTGACGGTAAAGTGGAGGTGCTGGGTCAGAGGAGCGCGTATTTGTAAGGCTCTAACCAACGCCCCCAAAGGCTGTCCTAGTAGGTGCCCCTGCCAGTGGCTCAGCACCTGTCACGTCTGAGATCCAGGCACCGTCGGGTGGAACCAGGGCCAGCTCCATATTTGCAGGGTACAGTGCAAAATGTGGGTCCCCTTGTTCGACAGGCAGGACAAAGCTTTCTCCTTTCTCCTGCAGGCTCTCTCGTGACCAGTCATGGTGCTTTTATTCACTGTCTCATGCTGTTCCCGTGGGCATAGGCTACTTAGGGACACACGCAGACCCTCACAGCTGCCTGGGACCATGTGATTTGGTGGGCAGAGTTCACAGGCCCAGCCCCACGCCTTCCTGCACCTGTGCCCAGGCCCCCACTGGGTGACAGTGATCGTTGGGCAGAGGCAAGGACTCGAGTGGCCAAGAACTGTCCTGGGGGGCAAGGGGGTGAGGGGAGGTGGGACCCCATGTGAACTGAGGCTGCAAGATCCCCAGCACATGCTCCATTCTCCCATTTGGCTTCACTTCCCACAACGCAAATTCAAAAGATAAAATTATTAGGAATTTCAAGACAATCCCAGAGCATTAAACCTCAAGTGTGGGGCCTTTCTGAGTGTGGGTCCCTTTGTGACTGCTGGCCCCAGATGGAACCATTGGAACTGTCACCAAAGAGGAACCTTCGAGGTTCATGTTGTTACCACTCTCAATCCTCAGTTCAAAAATTAATGTCACAGCAGAGTGCCCGTGCAAAGAAGCACATCATTTGGACACTTAGAATGGCCAAAGAAGGGTGGGGGAGGGGGCCCAGGTTAATCGTGGGTAACGCACCATAACCTGATGGGTTGATGCGATATTATCCCCACTTTATAGATGAGGAAACTGAGGTTCTGATCGATTGG